GAATGACCGTATCAAAACCGAATGCTTCATCATTTCTCAATAGTAAGAGGGGGTTAACAATTTGAAAATATTGTGCACGACACAGCGGCGCCGGTGGTGTAGTGGTAAGCGTGATTACCTCTCACCCCAGCAGGCCTGGGTTCAATCCCAGTCGGCGCCGCCGGGATGTTCTGAGGCATAACATCTCTGATCACGCCTTCCTTCGGATGGGAAGTAAAGCCGTTGGTCCCCGGTTCATGAGTTGATGGGTCGATAGGTAGGGTCCAGGTGTGGGAGCTGCCTTCCTGGCACGTCGGTAGCATTGGTGCTCAGCACGGAAAACAAGATCGACGGAAAAAAACAAACCAAAGGAAAAAAAAAATTGTGCACGACATATTTGAAGACTGCATAAAAATGATCTGCACTCATTAGATATAATATCAAAAACATTTTTTTGCAACCCGCATATACCATTGTTACTCAAAATTAAGCGTAAAGATGTCCTTAAATTTTAGAAAAAAAAACAGCTTTAAAAGAACAAGAAGTGAAAAACGCCTTTTCCTTGAAAAACTTTAATATATTGAAATACACTGGAGTCGCTTTTTACGCGGTTTTTTTTTACACGGTTTTTTTTTACGCGGTTTTTTTTTACGCGGATTTCGGAATTTACGCGGTTTTTTTTTACGCGGATTCCGGAATTTACGCGGTTTTTTTTTACGCGGATTTTAGTTTTTTTTTACGCGGATTTCAGAATTTACGCGATATATCGCTTTTTACGCGGTTTTTTCTTACACGGTCTTTTTTTACTTGGTTTTTTTTTACGCGGATTTCGGAATTTACGCGGTTTTTTTTTACGCGGATTCCGGAATTTACGCGGTTTTTTTTTACGCGGTTTTTTTTTACGCGGGACGTATCACCCGCGTAAAAAGCGACTCCAGTGTATAAAGAACTAAGCTTTTTGAAATCTTGCTCATTTTTAGCAAACATCATTCATATTCCTCTAATTTTACTAAAATTTGTCCACTAAGTGAAAAGTTGAAAATCGTGCGTTTTACTAAAATAAATCTTACTTCATATAGATTATTCCAATAAAGTCCAAAACTAAAACCTTAAATCAATAAACATCGGTTTAACCACCAGTCAAGAATTTAAAAAATATATCTATTCAGAATGTTTCAAAAAAGGTTCCACTGTACGCTCAATTTTGTGATACACTGTACAATCAGTTTGATGTTGGCCTCATGCGCTCTTATAAAGACAGGTAGTCTCGGTCAAGTTGGACATCGGAAAACCTCGATTTTACTCTTGTTCTGTACGTTAAACATAACGTCGGACATAGTGCGCGTTATAGCGCATCATCGTGCGAATACAGCGCACCATGTCCGACACTATGTTTAACGTACAGAACAAGAGTAAAATTGAATGTCACGTGTGGGGTTTTCCGGCTTACAACTCTACCGATAATACTAACATCTCCAAAACCATTGAGGAAATTTGGATGCTCATTTTCAATTGGCGCTCTCAAGGTAAAGAAATATTGTTTCGAATATTGTTGAACATTACAAATGATCCAATATATTCATGGAAGTCCAAAGAACTTCAAGCAAGTTCAAGGATCTTTTGGGCAGTTCCATTAATTCCAGGGTGTTTCCAGGAACATGATCAGGATAATTGCAAGAACTTCAGGGAAGTTCCGTTAACTAAAGGGAAGATAAAAGATGTTCAGGACAGATCGGGAACATAAGTACCGAGTACTTTTGAACTTTTTAGGGAACTTCAGGGATGCATCAATCATTCTAAGGTGGTTCCATTAACTTCCAAAAAAGTGCAGGATCTTTTAGGAAATTCTGTGAACTTCTAAGATATGCAGAGAACTTAAAAAAATCAAGAGAACTTCAGGGAAGAGAGAACTTGAGAAAGATTGATGAAACTTTAAAGAAGTTCCAAATATTTCAGGAGGCAAGGTCTTGAGATCTTTAGGGCGTTTCAGAGATACTAAGGGCGGTCCACTAATTTCAGGGATGTTCCAGAAACATCAGGAAATACCAGACTTTCTGCTAAGTGTATATCTGTAAGGAGCGGTGGTGTAGTGGTAAGTGTGGTCGCCTCTCACTCCAAAGGGCCGGGATTCAATCCCAGTCGGGACCATCGGGATTTTCTGGTGCATAAAATTTATGTTCAGACAACCAGAAGCCGTTTTAAAATGTACAGACGGAATCGTAAACTTGTACAGTTTAATTCAACATCGCATAAAAGAAGGACTTAAATCGCATTATGTTTAAGTCAAATCGTATAGAATGCCGACTTAAACGCGATGCAACAATTTTTCATCTTACTGTATCACAAATGAAATCGGATTACATCGAGTTTGCAAATTAAATTTGGTATTGCAGAATAAATTGTATATGATGTCAAATCCAATCGTTTAAAAATAAATTAAATTGTGCACGTAGGGGAAATGGATGTAATGTCGGCCTAAATGTCCCTAATTTGGGCCCATACATAAATTCAGCAATCGACTAAATTTTCAATAGCGACCAAAAATATCCATTAGTACCGTCCCAATGACGCGTTCATCTAGATAAAATTGATAAATAGCAGATTTTTAGCGATGGGCCCAGTCTTAGATCCATAGGCCAACATTAGAGCCATTTCCCATATATGGTCTCCATATGTGTAAGTATAAGATTTTTTTTTGCATTCTATACGATTTGTTTGTTTGTATATAGATCTGTAAATCACAAAAAAAAATGTAAATTTACGTCATTCTGGTTTTCTGGGTAATCACGCCTTCCTTCGGAAGAGAAGTAAGACCGTTGGTCCCCGGTCCATGAGTTGATGGGTTAACACTCCGAACACGATGCCTCCGGTAAAATTTGTAACGGCAAATTGGCAATGTTTGAAAAATCATTGCTCAGCAATTCATCGGTTGATTTTAAATCTATTTTTACCGAATAAATCTTTAAAGTATATAGTTTCAACTGGCGTCAGTAAATTTGAAGTTTGTCAATAAATGTTTGAGCTATGATTTTGCAAACATTGCAAGTTTGCCGTTACACATTTTACCGGAGGCATCGTATTCGGAGTGTTAATAGGTCGGTAGCATCGGTACTCAGTACGGAAAACAAGATCGACGGAAAACAAATCAAGGAAAAAAATATCATTAAGGGTGAGCTCCGATAAACTCAAGACAGTTCCATTAACTTCTGTAAAATTTTAAAAGAATTTCCGGGAATGTCAGGAATGTACAGAGATCTTCAGAGAGCGTAAGAAAATATCAGAAATATGACGGAATCTTCACAGTACTCCAGAGATCTTCAGGAATGTCTAAAGGTTTTCAGGGCAGTACCAAGAACTTCAGTGGCATCCGAGAGCCTAGTCAGTAAGGCATGGTAAATTTTCTCGACTGCCCTGGGCATGGAGTATCAATGTACTTGTCACACAATATACCAATTCATGCTTTTACTGGCATATAAAGCTCTCAATTAAAAACAATTAATAAAGTGAATATAGAACATTAAGTTGAGAGCCGGCAACATGCTCACTAAATAAACGTAGAACTTTAGGGCAGGTCAATTAAATTAATGGAAATTTCTGAACCTTTAAAATAACTTCAGCAATGTTCCAAGAGGATTATACAAATTTTGGAAACGTTCGGGAAGTCTCATGAATATAAGGAAAATGTTAGAACATTTAGGGAAAATTCCGTGTTTTTAATGGCAGATTTAAGAATTTAAAAAAAATGCGGTAGCCTCAGCGAAAATCAGAAAACTTTAATAGAATTAAAAATTTAAAAAATAGAAGTTCTGAAAAGGGTCATTTTAAAATCTGTTGCTGAAGTTTGAGTGCGATAAAATAAGACTCTTCATATAGATAATGACGTCAGCAGCAGAAAGATGTCATTGGTTTCATCACACTCACACTTCAGTATTCAGATTTGAAAATGGCCGTTCCACTTGTCTCGGTGTACCTTATCGAAATTCGTGTGTTCTCGTTTGGAGCCTAATTTTGAATGTGATAGGAGCTGAATTTTTTGGGCCCCCCTTATCTCAGTCGGTAAAGGCGCAGCTTCAAAGCAAGACCATGCTGGAGGTGGCGGGGTTCAATTCCCGGTCCAGTCTAGGAATTTTTCGGGCTTGAACATTTCTCGACTTCCCTGGGCATAGAAGTATGATTGGACTTGCCACACAATTATACCAATGCAAAAATGGTACAGGTATCGAAAGCTCTCAATTAATAACTGTGGAAGTGCATCTAGAACACTAAGTTGAGAGCACGCAATAAGCTAATATACGATATGCAATAAGCTTGAAATGCGAAGAAGAAAAAGGAGAAGGAGCTGAATTTTGAATTTTAAAATTCCCTAATCAATATGTTCAATCATCATATAACAAAGCGGTTTGAAATACTTCAAAGTAAGTCTGACTTTTTTCTTGTATAGATTTCTTTAACTTTTTCAAACTACAATGAGATTTAAACCACACTTCTGCAATGTTCGCAAGCAACATCGTTTCACCACGCATTGCCTCGGCTTTTTTTTTCAAAATAAAATTCGTAATTTTTAAAATAATTTAGTTTTTTGAAGAAATTGCTTGTAAACAGTATCGCTGAACTGTCAAAAATTCATCCGATGAACACTGAGTTCATTCGTGAAGTCACGCTGCTGAATCTATTTACGACAGATAAACTGAATCTCATTTGGATTTGTCTATTTTGTGTGTTAATATTTATGATTTGATTAAAACTGTGGATATGTGACCTTAAAAGGTTACTAAATAAAGCAACCTTCACTAAAATTGCTCAAACATCCCGTAGAGTCAACCAATCAAAATTATACCGACCAACCTTGGAAAAACTGTTCTCAAAAATATATCGATAAATATAATAATAATATATATTTAATATTTGATCAATCAATAGTCAGAAACTGTGTATGCTCATCCTATCTATTTCCCATAGTCATCACTGGCGCAACTGACGGAATTGGGAAGAAGTACGCCGAAATTCTGGCGAGCAAAGGCATGAACATCGTGCTTATTTCACGCAGTGAACCGAAGCTGATGAAAGTTGCCCAAGAAATTTACGAGAGATACAACGTTCAAACCCAGGTGATTGCGGTGGACTTCTCCAAAGGACCAGAGATCTACAAACCCATCAGGGAACAACTTGATTCGTTAGACATTGGCATTTTATGTGAGTATAGCATTTTTCCATTAAGAAACGATAGTTGTACTCACCAATCGTATTCATTCGCCACAGTAAACAACGTCGGATACTATCCGATGGTGCGCGTCTTTGACCTGAACACCGAAGAGGAAATGCTAACAACAATCAACCTCAACGTTCTTAGCACAACTATGATGACCCGGATGGTGCTTCCCGGTATGAAGCAACGCGGTAGGGGCATCATCGTCAACATGTCATCTACGTCCTGCTACAGACCAGCGGCGTACTTGAATCTGTACGCATCGACTAAGGCGTTCGTGACCAGCTTCAGCTTGGGTTTGCAACATGAACTCCAGGGAACTGGTGTTGAGTGTCAAGTCGTTACACCCGGTATGGTGCAGACCAACATGATCACCAAATTCGATGGTGAAATTCCATGGTACATCTCGGTTACGACTCCTGAATCGTTGGCCCAGTTTGGTGTGTTCACGCTGGGTAAAACTTCCCACACTTGCGGTGGTTGGATGCACGCTTTTCAGGTAATTGAATACGGGGTTTTGGATGCACAAGTTTACTGATCGAAAGCCGTTACATTTTTAGGTTTGCTGGCAGGATTTGGTTCCACTTTCCTTGGGAACTTTCTTCATTTCTCGTATAACTGCAAAGGCAATCGGAAAGTGAAAGGAGTCTACGGTGGCACGACAAGTACAATTATGTTGATTTCCATTAGGGGCAATCCATTAAGTACGTTAAGATATGGGATAAAATGTGACTATAGGAGCGGGGTACGTACCTAATGAATGTTCCCTAGGAGCTAACGAAATGGATGAAATAAAGAGATGTCCTATAATCAAAGAAAAATTATTTTTATTTAATTTCCTCCTTAAATGTTTCCTTACTAAACTTTGAGATTAATTCTTTCAAAATACCGAGATAAATGGTCATCATTTACTAGGACCTATACTGACTGTGAAAAAGTCGCATTAAATAGATACATGAATAGAAACCAAAATATTGTTTTACTGTGTTACTTTATTGCTACTATATGTGACTTATTACAGACAGTGTAATTTTGAATATGTTACCGAAAACACCACCACAACATTTCGGAATTGTTTTGGAACTATTTCTGAAGATAGCCTAGTTCAGCGGTTCTCAACCTGGAACACGCGTATCTCTAAGGGTACACCAAAACATATTCTAACTATAATGGCGGAAAAGTTATAATTTTTGTCAAAAGTTGTCAATTGTTTCAATTAAGTTTGGTGGTGATGTAAGGAGTGATGCGGATAAGTGCTTTAATTTATGAGTCGTTTAACTTTACTCAGGGGAAAACAATACCTACAATAATAAGCAAAGGAGTAACAAGTGTGATACTATCACTGCTAGACTACAAGGAACAAAATTCTGAGTTTTAACTATCGCATAAAATCTCCCTTCGTTTAATTTTGAGCTATACTTGGCATAAACAGCGAAATCGTTTGGAAGCTTGCATACAATAATGCTAATTTATGCGATATTGCACTTAAGTTTACACGAAATATCGCGTAAATTTATGCCAAATCTAGCGTTAGTTGTATGTGCGCTATATCTCGCAGAAATTTACATGAATTTTTCGAACGGTGTAGATCTTTGGTTTTCTCATGCAGTGGTTCATCAGAGAGAGGAAGCTTAGTAATCCCTATCGCCTGCCCATGGCACCATTCTATCGTGGCATGAGCCAGCAACGTCAACCATAAACCTACCGTCAGCAACACTCCCCTATAGAGCATGAAATAAAGCCCGCCCACCAACAACAAGGTGCAAAAACTAGCCAAGGGGAGGGAAATAAAGCGGAGAAATGTTTTTCATCTAAAATTACTAAAATATTGTCATTAATGAATGCCATACTTGTAGTTCACTGGTTGTGGGAACAATAATGTTTATTTACTTTGCTTATTTGGCAACCTGCTTCACAGTTCGATTCGTTCTTCTGGCTTCACTCTTGGCGGGACTCTTATTATAACATTGACTCTGCACGTAGTACCACTGAACTGTCATCTGATTGAGGTTAACCCCGACGGTACCAAACCTGTCAGGATTCTATACACTGACGTCACGAATGAACGCGATTCATCAGTTTGACATCCAGTGATGGTTTGCTTGTCTTTGCCTATTAGTCGATTTAAGTGGATTTGAGTTGTTTTTTTTATTGAATAGGACCAAAAGATATGTTATCCGACTATGCCCCTTTTGAAAATCTTCCTCACTATAAATCGAATCTCTCGTTCATTTTCTGACAACAATAACGAGAGAGAGAAGGATTAGTAATTTCCATTTAATTCCACTACCTTATTTGCTTATCCTTGACAGATACGCGTATTTCGTCTACAATGTGCAGACTTCTTCAGTGTCTTGTACTAATACTCGACTGTCACTGACACTGAAAATGTCTGCACATTGTAGACGAAATACGCGTATCTGTCAAGGATAAGCAAATAAGGTAGTGGAATTAAATGGAAATTACAAATCCTTCTCTCTCTCTCTCTCTCATTATACAGGTATTCCACTAAGACGCCCACATTCATCAGGGAACAATAACGAGTGCAAGTGAGAGGCTCAACTCAAAATTAAGTTAACAGGACTCACATTTTGGGTAGTATTTTTTCTCCGTGTGTGTGGTACAATGACATGAAACGAGTTTGAGGATTTAGCTCAAGAAGCTTCTTCACGACCGTTTAAGCTAACTATAATTTGAGTTTCTTTCACTCAAATTCGCATAAACGTAGGTTTTTCATAAGGGTTGATGTATATATTATGTCGCGCTCTAAAGGGGGAGGGGGGTCTAAGATTTTGTGACAAGCAATGCATTCGGTATAGGAAAAACCTGTTGATAGGGGGATGGGGGGTATATTTTTCCTCGATTTAGCGTGAAATGATTAATGGATTAAGTCTGTTATTGGAGACCTCAATAAGCACTGAAAGAGCAGTGGGGAACAGGAGTTGTAAAGTTTACCGACCTCATTACTCATATACTGAGTAAAATTTTCCACGATTTTCCAGGAACAACTTTTCGAATATGAGGAAAAACGAATATGAGGGAAAGAGGTTTACTTCAGTCTAGAGAGAGTCTACGATAATCTAGGATCCTAGACCGCCTTTAATTCAGTCTATTAGTATATTCCTATACTGAGCAAAAGATTAATCAATTTCCAAATTAAATTTTTGAGGAAAAGCTAGGAATATTTGACTCAGTCTATGTTTTAGCTGTTTTGAGTGAAAAGCTGAAAAAAGGTGGCGCCACGCTAAGTACAGGAAATCCACGAATAGCGCGGTGGGTGGTACCGTCCACCCACCGTTTTTTATCGGAAGTTTTTGAACCAATTGAGCTGATATTCTGTACACTGAAGCAAAAGAACGTGCGAATTCTAGGAATTTTTGCCTCAAGAAATCGGTATGAAATTAATTGATTTGCCTTATGAAAAATAATGTTGACAAAAAAATTATAAAACAAATTAATTAATTTAGCTTTATTTAGGAGGCTTTCAGCCTTAGGCTGGTTCGCCTCCAATTATAAAACAAAGCAGACTGGAACCGAACCATGGACGTTGAGATTACGGGACCCGTATGTTAGCCACTTGTCTTTCAATGCTTTGGGAAATGAAATGGTTTAATGGCGTACAAATGCTATCTCATGTTAGACGAAAATCATTCATAATTCTCGCTTATGAAGTTCATACAAGACGACCATATGAAATTTTTAAGTTTATTTGCCTCATTGTCTTTGGTGATAAGTTTATGGTTTATTTAATTAGATAGATAGATAGTGGTTTACCACTCATTGTGGCACGGAAACTAGTCCGATAGCTGTGGGTTCTCCTCACGGTTGGACTTGATCAAGCTTAATAGCCTCTTATTGTCATCTGCAAATCGCTGTACGAAGGGCCAAAAACGAATGGATGGATTTATAGGCAATTTGCCTATTCATTTCCTTGGGACAGTTAAGAATCTTCTTCCAACAACTTGATCATCCAATTGGCCAGAAAACGAGCCTTCCAACAGGAAGATGCCCCAATAAATGGGGAGAAGAGCCCTCCCTTTATCCACGAAATGTTAGCAGGAGTTGACATCTTCACTCTCCCCATCCAATTCGGTCAATGATCCACTTCAATTCTATAGAAAGAATATTCATGAAAATCCATGAAAAAAGAGCTATCGCACGGCATGTTTCTGAGTAAAAACGCAATTGCCCCCTACTACAGGTTCTCCCCGGGGGTATCCCGTGATTCCGAGAGCTGCCAATGGGTCACTGATCCATTTGAAGTTTAATGAATGGCTATTCATGAAAACCATGAAGAATGAGCTGTCGCACTGCATGTTTTGGTGTAAAAATGCAATTGTCCCCTACGCCAGGTTCCCCCGGGGGCATACTGGATGTTCCGAGAGTAGCCAATGTGGTAAATGATGCATTTAAAGTTTATCGAAAGTCTATTGACGAGAAACCATGAAGAAAGAGCTGTCGCACGACACGTTTTGAGTGATTGAATGATCTGCCCGCATTCAGAACCCTTCACCCAGAACCGATTCCAGGGAAATGGCCATATCTCGGTTGATTACCTCCGGAAACCGGAATATCTCCGGTATCCGGTGACCAGGACTATTTTGCGTGGCTACACTGTAGAACAATATTAGTTTTCCAGTCAAATGCTCTTGGAATATTTAAAATTGGATCATATTTGACGAAGTTACAACACTCCAAAGTTGTCCAAAAATTTGCCTATCCTAGTTATTTTGAGTAACCCATTTACATAGCATACTGTCTACATGTAAAAAAGATGATGTTTGACTTTGTTTACGTTTGTCTAGAACAATTTTAGAAAAATTGTTTATAAAACATTTATAATTTAAAACAAAATTCATAGAAATCGGTTAATATCTTCTTAAATATTAGACATCGAAAATTGGAATTTTCAAAATAGTTTCATATTTTGAGCAGTTCTACAAATTTGCCCAAGAGAGTATCCTTCTTCTTATTTAGGGGAAACAGTAAGGTGCTTCATATTGTTTTTTCATAGAAGGCCATGATGAATTATTGAAATCGCACACTCAAAAAATTATCACATATCTAATGGATGAAATCCATGTGATTTTCACATAGCTTTCCTGTGATAACATAGCAGCAAATCCCACCACAAAATCACATGAATATTATGAGACCAATGAAATTCATATGAAAAAATATATTAAATTAAGATGATCGCATAAATGTTATGTGAAATTCAGCTGAATTCCAATAATTTTGATCATGGATGAAAATCATGTGCGTGGAAGCTATATGAAAACTATTTTCAGTGTAAGATTGTGGGCGATACTTATTTGAATAATTTCTCTGAAGACACTTTTCTGATTAAGTCAATAGTTTATATACAATTCAATTAAGTTCGTGATTTTGCTATCTCCGACCGCTGTGCACCTATTGAGGGATTCCTGTACTAGGAGAGCAACACCGTGTGCGGAAAAGACACCCGGCGGGGATAACCAACCGTTGCACAGTGCACTCAAAATAGTGCACACGGCTGATCGAAGTGTTTAAACACTTGATTTTACATATGCACAATCACATTTTTTTCAAACCTCCTTCTCCCTTTTCCCATCCAAAATATTGTAAATCTCCATTAACCTCGAGACATCCACGAGTATTC